AAAAAAAGAAATCACTCTGCCAACAAATGATCAAAGCTGACATTTTCATTTTACTTTATTATACACATAATAAATCTTATCAAATTAAAGTATCTCTCACCACAAAGCTCAGTCTACTGAATAGATAATGGGTTTCAAGGAGGAACTAAGTATGATAGTCGAGTTACAGTTACAAACTTGTGCATTCACTTTTGAGTCATGAGGCTGTCAATTCTGAACGGGAAATTAAATTAAATTAGATCCTGAATGGGAAAGGGGAAGAAGCAGGTAGATTTCTCGCCAACCAACCAATGGCAGTCTGTTTTCCTGGTGTTACACTGCACAGGACGCTCAATTTGCTCTGTGCTTATCACAACTAAAATTATAAACCAACAATGGTTTGTAAAATCTTGGTTTAAAGAAAACACATGCCCTAACTAAAAGTAGGCACCTTCACTGCCACCTACCTGCCTTGGAGCGGCCCCGGAATATCTCCTGATACCAGCTTCTTTCCATTTTCCTCCTCTGTTCTTCTAATTTAAAGGAAATAAAAAACGATGTCACCAAATTGCTAACATCCGAACAGGCCAACAGGTGACAATGCTGCCTGTAACCTCTCGGTAACTGATACAGGATTTGAAACACACTTATCACATCTCTTCTCCTACCCCTGTCACCCTAGCCCCCAGTTGGGGGTACAGGCCGAATCTCAGGAAAAGAACATGAAAAAAAATGACACTTTTTAACCCATTTCTTGGTTAGCCGATGCCCTCTAGGATATAAATATACAGTAAAAAGTATTTATAGATTCAAATCAATATATTAAGTAAATGAAACTCTTAAGAGGCAGAACTGAAAACGCTAAGTCCTGCCCCTCAATTTCAAAATCCTTTCATTACAAAGTACCTTCTACCCAAGACGAACACCGTCTTTCCAGTCAGGTGAAGCTCAACTACGCGTGACATTCTGAAACCGAGAGGAGTTTTTGCCGGCAGGAAACCAGTGCCACCGGCTTCACAACAGGCTGAGCACGTTTCCTAGGGTCAATGACGCCCCACGCTCACCTCTGACTGTGCTCCAACATCTTCATGGCCTCCTTCAAGTTCTTCCCCATCTCAGCCAGTGTAGGGTCTGCTATCTGGCGAAGTCAAAAAAAAAGGTTAAAACCGGGATAATCCTGTATTATTTCTGCAACATAATCCATGCAGAAAAATTAAATTCAAGTCCATTTTCTTCTGGATTTAATATAAAACACCCAGATTTACTGTAAAGTACATGTGATTAAAAAATTCCAAAGTATGGGGCGCCTGGGTGGCTCAGTCGGTGAAGCATCCGACTCTTGATTTTGGCTCAGGTCATGATCTCACAGTTCATGGGTTCTAGCCCTGCTTGGGATCCTCTCGCTCTGCGCGCCCCCCCCCCAAATAAATAAAACAAATCTAAAAAAAAATAAATTCCAAAGTACAAACATAACATTAAAAAGTCCACTCCCTAAGGGATGCCACTCAAGTTTGACATGTATCTTTCCAAGTTCTCACCTAACTCATATGTACTGCTGCAACTTGCTTTTACTTTACAGTGAATATGGTTCCATATCAGTAGTATATCCACCTCATTCCTAGTAATAACACCATATTCCACTCTATGGATTACAATCACTTAACTGGTAGTGAATTAACGTTAGGTTATTCCAGTTTTACACTTAGAAGCGAGGTCCAGAAAAGTCTGTACAGTATGCTACTTGTTTTACTGTTGTAATAGGCTGAAAAATGCCCCCCACCCCCGGAAGATATTCACATTGTAATCCCTGGGACTTATGAATGTTACCTTATGTGGCAGAGTCTTTACAGAAGTGATTAAGTTGAGGATCTTGAGATAGTAAGATTACCCAGTATTTGTCCAGGTGAGCTCTAAATGCAGTCACACATACGCAGACGAGAGAAGTAGAGGGAGACTACATAACACACACACGCACGCATGCACGAAGGCTGTGCGAAGACAGAGCAGAGGGAGATTTGAGGTGCTGGCCTCAAAAATTGGAGTGATGGGGCCACAAACCAAGGAATCAGGGCTGGCTGGCAACATACTGGCTCCAGAAGGGGAGGGACTCTCCCCAAGAACCTCCGGAGGGAGTGCAGCCCTTGCCAACACCTTGATTTCAGCCCAGTGATACAGCTTTCAAACTTCTGGCCTCCAGGACTGTGGGAAAATACATTTCTGTTGTCCTAAGCCACCCGGTTTGTGCTAATTTGTCAGAGTAGCCACAGGAAATAAATACTCTCAGAAATCTGGGAGTGATTCCATACACTCTGGAAGCTTACCCAGCTGGTCATAGTGACTGCCTCCAGAGAAGGGAGCTTCTGGAAGGACAGCCATCATCGTATCAGGAGTCTTTTCAGCTCATTTCCTTTTGATTTTTTGAAATAACATTTTTTAAATGTTCATTTATTTTGAGAGAGAGAGAGAGAGAGAGAGAGAGAGAGAGAGAGAGAGAGAGAG